GCTCTCCTTTTGCTGGCTCTTGATTTCCATGAAACTTGTAGAAACTTTGTTTCTCTTGGGTTTTTGTTTTTCTGCCAAACTGGGAGAAAATTGGCCAATGAGTAAAAGCAAGAAGTTGTTTGTGGGGGTATGGAGAGACAAGCATGCTGCAGACAGGCAGTTTGCAGGCCCCTGAGAAGTGAAGCAAGTATTAATCTGGCACGTTCCTGTTGCTCTCTGAAGTGCACAGAGAGTTGGGATGTTCTTCCGCTCATTTAAGCAGAGCTGTTGCTCCACACAATTTTCAGTGTGGGGCTGCAGGTATGTGTAGTGGGACTCTGGGCTGGAGATGAATGCATCAGCTTTAGAAGAAGCTTAGAAAATAGCTGAAAACCTAAAATCAAAAGCATGATGGCTTCTTCTCCACACAGAGAGAGGGAGTCACAGCACAGAGGAGAAAACCCTCTGACAGGAGGGTTGGTGGAAGAGACTGACTTTTTCATCCCAGTCATTCAGTGCCAGCATTTGCAGCTCATTTTCTCCTGAAAGACTTACATGTTTTCTAGCCTTTCTCCATAGCTGAATAGCTGAGACTTCAAACAAACAAACCTGCCTTTCTCTGTCTGACAGAGCCCTGAGATGGAAAGTGTCACAGAGGAGAACTCTGAAAGCTATTGGCATGGCATTCTTTTGCCTCTCCACACCTCTGCTTCATATCTCTGTGCCTGAGCAAGTCTTATCACAGTATGAAGTCTGTTGGCTCAGGCTGGTTTGTTGGTTTCACAGAGAAGCTCAGGCTCAGATTTAGAGGAGCAAGATGGATTTTGTTAGCTTGTGGTGCTCTGATTTATGACAGGTTTTGTATAGAGAAGCTTCTTCACCTGGGTGTATCCCTTGCACCTTGCTCTGCCAGACTGGAGGATGTTGCAGCGATGGTTTAAACACATCATGGCCTGTCACAAGAGGGCAATGGAATCAAGCAGATGGGGTTTTCCCCCCCACTGTTTAAAACAGAATATAATTGTGGGAGAATTTTCAGTATCCCAATAAAGCACTATATTATAAACCTTGATTTTCCAAATAGAATATGCAGAATTTGGTGAGGAGCAAAAGTCTGATGCAGCCTAGACCCTCAGAGTCATCATCAGAAACATAGCCAAAGCCTTATTATTACAGAGACATGGGAGAAAACACATGGACTGAGTTAACACAGGATTGTTATATATGACCAGAGTCCATTCCACATCACAGAATCAATTAGGTTGGAGCAGACCTTTGAGATCATCGAGTCCAACCTATGACCCAACACCGCCTTGCCAACCACACCATGACACTGAGTGCCATGTCCAGTCTCTTTTAGAATACCTCCAGGGATGCTGACTCCACCATCCCCTTAGGCAGTCTGTTCCAATGTATAATCAGCCTGTGAAGAAATTCCTTCTAGTGTCCAACCTGAACTTTCCATGACCCAGCTTGAGGCCATGTCCTCTTGTCCTGTCACTTGGGAAGGAGGCTGATCCCCAGCTCACTACACCTTCCTCTCAGGCAGCTGTAGAGAGTGATGAGGTCTCCCCTGGGCCTCCTTTTCTCCAGGCTAAACTCCCTCAGCCATTCCTCCCAGGACTTGTGCTCCAGACCCTTCCCCAGCTCCGTTTTCCTTCTCTGAACTCACTCCAGCACCTCAATAGTCATTGAGGGAGAGACCCAGAAGAGAACACAGCACTCGAGGTGTGGCCTCACCAGTGCTGAGTCCAAATCACTGGAAGAATCACTGTAACATTCCTAGTCCTGTGTTTTAAGAGTTTCTGTGCTACCAGCAGTGTACTGAGGTGCAGTTTATGAAAGCATTGTTAAAAACACTTTTATGTATACACGTGTGTGTGGTTAGAAGCAATATGCAAATATCAGCTTGAGACTGAAGGCAGTAACAACCTTCCAAGATGATGAGATTCCAGGGATAGCTGGAATGGAGCAACCCAGAGGAGAACGAGGTAAGCAGGATCAGTTTGCCATTAAAGGCCCCAAAAAGTTAAGGCAGGTGTTTGGGGTGTGACTCATGGAAACCACCTTTTATATCGCTGAGTCTTTTCTCATTTTGATATGACTACAACATTTCTTTCCCTCCACTACTTTAGTAATGTGCTTGGAAGGGGACCATATTGTGACCAGAGGACTGGGAGAGAATTTGGTATCCAGTCTGCTTATAGTGTCAAATGACTGTAAGGATGTATGGGCTAGTTAGTTTGGAATTAGAAGTAATTAGTAAAAGAGAAGGGGTCAAGTTAAGATTTAAAGCTGACTCAAAAATTTTCTGTTCCACCTGTGGGTCACATCTCTTTAAATGTTCAGGCTTGGGTAGCTAAAATTAGCAGTGATCTTTTCTTTTCTTTTTTTTTTAATGCTTGTTTTCTAATTAGGCAATTTGGTGGTAGAGCTGAGCCCTCCACTAGATGATTGCAGAAGCTGAAATGGCTAATTGTAGATGCTTGCTTTTGAAAAAATGAATCATTACTTATGCAAGCTTTCAGCTTCTTCATCTCTAGAACAGAGATAGTATTTCCCAGTATGGCTTTTGGGACTTTGTTAGTTTGAATGGATTAGCACGAGACAAAGCTTTAGATTTTTTAGCCAGAAAAAGTGCCAGGGAAATACAGTATATTATTGTGATATCCTTTGAGATGTTTCTGTGAAGCCAGTGCTGACTGTCATGGTAATAAAGAAAGCCTCAGAGAAGCTAACGAAATAATGATCCTACTTCCTTTCTAGCTATCCTTTGAAAGGGCAAATGCAATGAGTGATAATGGTTTAATGAGCAAGAGTCATTAGGGCATCCAGCCTGCATCTTTAGAAGTGTGAAAGCATTTTGGGAGATCTTAAAATTACTCAGAGAACAAACGCAAAGTAGCTCTGTCAGAATATTAAAGTGTTATTTGTATTCTCTTTTAATGCTGGTTGAAACCAGTGATCTCTTTCACTGCCTGGTGGCTGGTACATGTGTAGTCACAAAAGTGGCTTGTTCATAGCTGCAGTGCTGTTGGAAGGGTAATATCAAGGAAGTGCCTCTGCTTGCCCCCTGTCTGTTATCCTCTGCTTAGAGCTTAGTGTTACCTGAGGATTCCTGACCTGTTGAATTTGCATTTATAGGAGGCTTCATGTACTGGAATTAATTGTCCTTGATTATTCAGTTTCATTAGTAAAGCTGCTTCAGTTTCAAGATTGGCTGGAGAGGGAAGGCTGCTATTTTTTTTTTGTTTGTTTGTTTATATTGATATTGATATCTCACTACAGTGAGACAAGAGCTTCAGATACTTTGGGTGGGAAAATGTTATGAAAATACAGTTCATTATTGCCATATTCTTTGAGGTATCTGGGTGAAGCCCAGTGGGTGATCCTACTATGCATCAGTACAGAAGAGTGGTGAGGACATTAGCTCTGTGTTTGTATTAAAGTGTTAACCAAAACACAAGGCAGTTGTTTGAGACTTGAAACACCCTGGCTGGTGACTGTTCAAAGCAGAAAGGCTAGTTCAACCCATTTAAGGAAAGAAAGACTTTACAAAGTACTTAGGAATTGTCCTTGAAGGATGCACTGAAGCAAGCTTTTGACTTCATGATTCCTACCACTTGTAAGCCTGAAACCATCTGGCTGGTTTTATTTATGGCTTGGCCCTTTTGGTGTCACTCTGGACTCCAGCAGCAGCAAGGAAAGCAGCAGAGTTGGGTGCAGGCTCTGGCATTGCTCAGTTTCTCCAGCCATGTGAGTTGCCCTGTTCATTGTGATGCCAGAAAGGGTTTGGGCCATTTCTCTGCCAGACAGAAAAGAGCAGAGGATTGGTCTCAAACCAAACCAAATTCTAGAGGCTTGTTGAACTTAGGAAAACAAACTACTGGGGCTCAGTACTGGGAAAGGCACTGAATTGCTGCATGTTCTCTGATCATCTCTCCAGTAAAAAGTGTGTTTAGAGAGGAGGGCAAGGGCCATGGATTCTCATCCTAATAAGATTTTAGATATGTCCAGGTAGGCTTTTTATGAGGACCTTTCTTTGTCCATCTGCTGAGAGTTGTGTTTGCTCATCCCTATGACAGAAGCTGAGTTGGGATGGGAGCCAGGCACTCCCCACTGCTTGCAGATGTGAGGGGGCTTTCAGGCAGGGTCTGATACCCCTCCCTCCTAAAGCCAGCTGGTGCTGAACGCCCTTCAGGTCTGGGATCCTGTACAATGTAGCTGTTGGGTTGTTCTGGTAGGAAAAATCTTGTTTGTTAGGAAAGCAAAGTATGAAAACAGTAGAGAAACAAGCAGGGCAGTGAGGTTTCAAACATGCCCACAATTGAGGAGGAGGACACTACAGAAAACCCTCTGTGACGAAGCAGCCCTTTTCCCCAGTCACGAATGGGTAATACCACCCCCAGATCATCTGCTCCTCTGGGTGGGTTTTGTTAGTGTAGGGGCCTGAATCTGTCTCCGTAACTCAGAAAAATTAAATGCCTGGCACAAAGTAGGATGGGGGTGACTGAGGACTCAAGATACCAGTTTAGGCACATTTTTATCTAGACATGAGTTCAGCTGTTACAATTCTGAGCCACATTTGGATCCCCATCTTTAAGTCAAAAATCAGCCTACCTAAATAAAACTGTTGTTGTTGTGTTTAATTTGGATTCTTATGTTGGATTTGTCTGAAAAGAGAATTTGTACTAAGGTGCTGCTATCAGAGTCCTCTTACATGTAAATATCATTTGCAATCCCACACTGGCACATGAAGGCAGAGTCTGCCCCCAAAGTCCATCTGCATGGGAGCACCACATCTCCCAGATGCATATAATCAATGAATGCAGACAGACACTGCCCCAAAGGACTCAAGTACTCCTCCCTTTTCTGCTGGCCACCCTGAATGAAACATAAAATTTTGTGTTTTAAGCATAATAATGCTCAAACTGTAATTTGGAACATCTGTTCACACAGTCATTCCCTTCCCCTGAGCTCTAACAACAACATAAACTCTTTTTGTCTCCTCTTTTCTCCAGGTCAACAGACTATGGCACTACCTATGAAAAGCTAAATGACAAAGTAGGCCTGAAGACTGTGCTGAGCTACCTATATGTCAGTCCCACTAACAAGAGGAAGGTAAGGGAGAGACATTGCACTGGTAGCTATAGAAACAAAATTACAGCATTCTGAGAGGAATTATGATCCTAAAGTGAAATCTGTTGGTAATTCACAAGAGCTTGAATTTGCTGTCTAAGTTGCACTGGTGCAATTCCATGAAATCCCACAGAACTGACCTTGCTTTACTTGTGACGGCAGTGAAGTGCTTAATTCCCTTCTGAATTTGCTAGAGAAGTAAAAAGGTTGCTTTTATTTGCTTCTGACTGTTAAAACTTTAAAGAACTCACACAAATATTTCTGGGTTTCTTGCTTACACTGGCTTTGGCTATTACACATCTCCCTGCCTTCCGTCTCATTATTATTAGAAATACTGAGTAAAAGGCATTTATTTCTGCATTTGACTCTTTTTTCCTCACATTTGGAGGTAAAGATGTAAATGACATTTTCTTTGGTTGCATCATGTAAGGGGGCTGAGAGCAGAATATGCCTGTGAGAGTGGGTGGAAGACCTACAATTTGATTTGGTTGTGTAGGAGAAAAGATGAGGTCACAGCTTTCCAACCCCCTGCTCACTCTTCCCACGTGATGCAATTAGGGCTGCAGCTGGCTCACACAAGCACAGCCCAGGAACTGCTACTCAGAGCCTTTTTGGTTTAAAATTATTGCCTGTGTTGATTCAGGGGAGGTAGTGGGACAAAGATGCTTTCAGCTACCCACAGAAATCAGTGTGGGAGGGCTGCAGCACGAAGCTAATTGCTGACAGTGAAGTTCTATTTGGACAGTGTAGAGGCCCAGTGCAAAATATTTCACTTGATCACTTCCAAACTGTCCATATCCTGTCTACATCAAAAGATTTCCAAACTAGTAACTTGCTACTAGTGCTGTTCTTATTATGACTGTTGTGCTTTCTGTCACTGGTCAGTCTATAGATGTTTTGGGGCTGATGTTTATTTCAGGGTATGCAACCATAAGGCAGACAAAGCTCTGGTTACTAAGTGTGTTTGGATGTACAGGGAAGAGGAAGAATGCAGTGACCAGAGTTCAGCTTATGTTTTTCCTGTTGCAGGAGCTGAACTATTGTGACAACTACTTTGACTTTTTTATTTATTTTTTTTTCTGAGCAAAACAGATGAAGATGTCTTGCAGTGAGTTTTCCTGGCCTTCACAACCATCCTATATCCAATATGTGGGGGGCACCAAAGAGTTAATTCTTCTTCATTCTGTTTCCAAAGCAACTCTGCCCACCCAAAAGCACAGGCAATATGCTCAGTTACAAATCCTACGTCACTGGTGTAAAGACTCCCTCACAAATCAGAGTACGAGGATATATTATTATCTTCTAGCAATTTCTCAGGCTACTGAGCTTTACAGATTAGCAGTCTTCTTTTTTTTCTTTTTTTTTTTTTAATTAAAACCACCTACATTTCATCATATAGTGGCATATAGGCCTATCTTTATTTGCTGTTTACTTATTTGAGATTAGAAATTTAAAAGAATTTTTTTTTGTTTTCCCATCTAAAGGAAATGATTTCTGGACTTATCTGTGCCCTTCTCATCCCTTCTGAAAAATCTTATGAAATGTAGAGATAAGCTGTAAGGAAAATTCATAGGAAACCAGCTTTAGTGCTTGCTGCTGTGGGAACAACTTGCTTCCATTCTATCTCTGCTAAATATATGAGCACTGTTACTGTAGCAGTAACACAGTTTAAATGTAACAGTACATGCTTAAACAGCTGGTCTGTCTGAACGCTGCTTTGTTAACCATCAAAGCAATTCCAGGCATTCATGTAGCACTTGAGAAATGTCTGAACAAGGTGTCACTGGACCGGAGCAACTGAAATTTGTCAGATTCAGGTTTGGGTTTATTGTCCACCCACTCCTCTTACAAATTCTTGAGGTTATGCACTGCAAAAAATGCTCTAGGGTTGCAGACTTCTCCCAGTCTCTCAGGGTGAATATTATTCCTGTGTAAGGCAGTAAGCAGAATGATTTTGCTGAGCCCCTGAGGACAGCTGCCAATACTGAATCACAGAGCAATAGGTGAATCAGTTGCATCCCGGCAGAAAAAGCCCAGGTCCCTTGCATTTCACCTCTAGCAGCAGAAGCGCTGCCTTGTTGGACATGATGCAGGGATCTCTTGTGAGCTGCAAGCGTGGTTTTCGCTTGTGGCAGTGAGTGGGGAGGGAGGTACCAGCAGTGAGACACATGCATGGAACCTGTTGCACACATGAGCCATGCAGACCTTTCCAGGCAAGGTCTTTTCTCCTGAGGCACTCACTCCCAGGCACTGATTGGAGCCTGCATGCCTCGGAGCTCCTGTCGATTTCTGATGGGTTTGCACATTGCTGCTGGCCCTGTCTACTCATTAGTGCTTAGAGGATTAGCGCTTACTTGGAGGAGGAGAAAAGCTTTCCATACATTCATTCCTAATTGATTTACTAGTGAGAAGGATAATTACTTCTCAGCTACCCTGCAGAACTACAGTGGGAATTACCTGTCAGATTTCTTTGAAGACCTAAAATGCCTCTTTTCAGCTGTTAAATAGGAATTATATGTTCAGCCAAATGCCAGTTATATAAACATCATTTACCTGAATTGTGCTGTAACCCTGGGCTCAATTATGAGGCTCGGGGATTTAAAAGCTGGCATTTTGCTTTCTTCTTTTAAAAGAAAAGCCTTTTGTTTCTGATTTCCTTTTTTGAAAAACTTCGGTGGAAATATTTTAATTTTTTTGGCAACCTGTGCTTTATTTCTTGGAGGTCAGATTTAGTCTGTAGCTGTTCCTGGCTTTTACACACTGCTGCTGGGTGATATCTGCCCCCTCCCTCCTCATGCACCGAGTTAACCAAGGAACAGAGCAAAGACTGAGCTATAAGGTGGCTTTGGCTGTGGTGCACATCTGGGGCCCAGGTGCTGCCCTACCTGCTGGTGGCTGCTCTTGGAGCTGAGATGGGGCATGTCCATTGCCTAGAAATCACAGAAGGTATTGGGGAAAATGCGCTTTGCCCTTGTGCAATTTGACATTTGCAGAATGATTAAACAATATAACAACATGCACATACCAAAGGAAGTTGCTGGGAATTGTTTTTGCTAGCTGTGGTACCTGAGAGGTGTCATTCCTAGTGGTCAGGGCCAGCCTGGTGATCTGAGACCACCTTGGGTGCTGACATAAGGGAACAGCCACGCATTCTGTGAATCTGCAGACTCTGGCTGCATCGTAGTCAAAACACTCCCTGCCATGAGCCAGGACTACTTCATCTTCCCGTGGAGCTGTCATACTGCTAATTCCCTTCCCCTAAGAACTAACAAGTTCAGGGTTTCACAACGCTTTGCAAGTGTATGGAAAGCCTCTGCTGCTGGGGATTGAAACTGCCAGACTTGGATCTGCTCTCCTGCAGGTTGTTGGGCTGTTTGTGCTCTCACTTGCACAACAGGCACTTGTGTTTGGGTCAGGAAAATCTTCACTGAGCTCTCCTTACTGCTGTGAAATTCCAGGTGATCTTTGCCCTTAGCGGTCAGACAGCTCTCAAGTCCTGGGGACTGGATGATTGAGAGTTCCTGTTTTGGACTCTGGTGAGAAGCCAAGGGCCTGCACTGTTGACACGTCCAAACCCATGAAGATGCTCTAATAGGCAGAGTGTATTCCAGGGCACATCTTCCCCTTCAGTGCATCTGCCCACCCAGTTGTTGGCCTGAGACAAAAACCACACGTGCAGCATCTGCTTTGTCCAGTTGCCAAATAGGTTTCGACAAGCAGGTAACTTGTGGTAAACCTCAGAACGGAGCAATTTTCATATTTGTTTAGCAGCACCCCTTTCTTACAGATGAATGGGATTTAGCAGGAGATGTTTGAGTGCTCTGAAAAACTGAAAGTAGCAAAATACTTTTCTTTAGCTTTTCTGCCCTGTAGCCTGTTGTCTGTCTTTGGGGATATGACAAAAAGCTGCTTACTCTCTGCTGGGCAGAGATCTCGGTTCCCTGCTGACCTTTAATTTAAAGCTGTATTTTGGGCGTTAGTTACATTTTACTAGAGGCAGATTTTCACAGCAGTCTGGGAATTAAAAGTGTTTATTTCTTCCAAAACACTAGGGGAAAAATCTCTTCTATTTTAATAGGAACATTTCTCTTGACTTTTTAAATTTCCAGTTTCTTTTTATCCCAATCCTCTTCTTTCTTCATGGTTGCTGAAAAAATTCTGCTAGAAACTGGAATTCAATTTCCACAAAAAAAATTAAGCTTGTGATTCTTTGCTTAACTGGCTGCACTTCAAAATGTCACTGCTTGGAGCTGAAGTGCTGTGATTCCATATTTTCTAGCACGAGTTGGTCTGCTGGGTAAGATCCCCTATTGTGAGAACATTCGCTTTCTTCTTGGTTGTCAATAACAGGGTTCATTTTACAATTGATGCCTCACAGAGGGATGTAAAGCCCTTCCAAAAGGGTGCAGAAAGAAGATGAGAATTGAAGTCCCATATATCTGAAGCACTGCTCCTTTCAGGCACAGAGGTGCCACTTTGAATCTCAAGGAATTGTTGAACCATAGATTTTAGGTATTACTTTTTCCTGTGAAATATTCTGTAAAGAGTGCTTATTCTTGGTGGAGATGATGTTTAGTTGAAAACTCAGTTCTCACTACAAAACTTTTATCTCTACCCTTGGGAATACTGTGGAGGTGGAGACGATGGAGTTAAAAAGAACTAAAAAAAAAAAGAGAGGAAAAAGGAAGAGAATAACAGCTCTGACAAATCAACCCCACTTTCCTGTATAGAGTATTGCTCAGATAAGGTGTGGATAAACTGAAGGCCCTGATTGCATTTAAGATCTGAGGTGACAGTTCTGATGTCTTAGAAATACCTTCCTTCATGAATTTGCTTTGCAATTCAGTTAGCTGCAGTTGTTTTTAGCTTTTCCCCTGAGCTATTACAATCATTGTTGTAGGTGATGACTTGAAGAATTAAAAGGTCTGTAACTTTTTATGCTGACTGTCTGAATAGAAACATCACCCAGCCTCAGTGAATGA